AAAACACACATTAAGATTAAGGAATGGGGGGAGAGACAAAAGACTATTTGATTTTATATGAATTTTTTTCTCATGTTTGTATTCATGCATACATATAATATGTAAAGGAATCACATAAGAATATATATTAAATTGAATTGAATATAAAAAGGAAAAACTTTTAATCTTCGTCATTTTTTAAAAGCTGTTTATGTGAGCGGATTTTATTTTTAGAATGTGAGAATGTCATATTATATGAAAATCCTTGTGTCTCCGACTTCTTTCTTGCGATACAATTTTATTATTATGTCTTTCAAGGCTGCGATGCTGGGGTGGTTTTATGGAATAATACTTTAAATGGAATCATGCAATTGTGAACCTATTCAATAAAAGTGAGGTGTTTTATAGCTGCATTTGAGGTGTGAATTGTGAGGGATTTTATTGGTTTTCATTTTCCAATTCAGAACTTTTCCACCATTTTTGATGTTCAGATTATCGTACTTATCAACCCATACAGACACCTCAATAAAATTCAAATAATTCTTGCATCGTGCCACTTAGCAAGTCGGCATATACTCAATAAAAATTACGTGACATTTCACCCGTCCTTAGCTTATTTCTTGGACATAAACATCAGAAAATTGTTCAATAAAATAATTATTTGGCAAACATAATTTGGAAGTATTGACAATAAGAAGCTTTTAAGGCTTTGTTCATTGTAATTAAATGAACATTATTGAATGATTTTGAGCTCTATTATCTTAATATTATCAAAACTGAAATGTTTTTGCGTAACTCTACTTAATTACGTATTCCATTGGGATTGTTGCTTGACGAAATAATTTACTAAAGATTTTAATCTTTAGTTCAACACACGCTTAGCTTATTAAGAAATTAATTTGCATAATTATAATATTTTCCTAGAATTTTATAGCAGATAATGATTCATGTAATTCCAATTTATCTTCCATTAATTAAACTACTTTTATTGATATTAGAGTAATTTTCGTACTAACTTCGCAAATAACAATAAATTTGATGGAACAGAAAACTTTTGTTCATTTCATTAACTCAGTAAAACTTTTATTAATTTTCTTAAATCACGAATCTATATGCTGGTGAAGAAACCTCGCTCATCTTTTCAACTTTATCTTTCGCCATTATCTCTATGTTCAGCGATTTAAAATGCTGTCTTTAAATACAAACCGAAGCAGAAGCAGAAAAAAAGTTCATTTCTTCCCTTTTTTTTCTCTCGGTTTTTATCGATGAACGGGCTGATAGGAAAACATTGAGAATGTAAATTGATATTTTTTATACAACAATAATTTAGCTACAACAGAAAGATACTTTCATTATCGATTTTTATTGCTCAGGCACATTTGTCTGAAGAAAATTGGATATAACTTATTTTCTCGAATATTTCTCATCTTTTTGTCTACGTGTATTTACTTTTTATGGAAGTTTGCTCTGAATTGCTGTTGGATTAGTTGCTAGTTTAGTGCAAATTCGATTGATTGACTCAGTAATATATTTAAAAAGCGTGTCAATAACTTCCAGATTTAAACATGATGTAATGCTTTTTAACTGAATTTGTTCTCAATTCTAATATAAATGCCTCTATTGACCCATGACTTACTACATTTACTCTATAAAGACTCAATGATTCACCCGTAAAATAAGGCAACTTTCTCTAGAGTCATCTCCTCATAATCTATTATCAATTCATTGGATGTAATTCAGTTTCTTGTTTTTATTCGATTATGTACCCAATGAAATATAGCAAGGAATACTTTTCTCTAATGAGAAATCATCAACTATTGGATACGAAAAAGGAGAAAATAAGAGGATAGTCATTTGTTCAAGGTTAATTTTCCATGCAATTTGCTTGCCTTCTATCTTTTTCCCCACACATATATAAATGAATAGGTTGGTCGGTAATTAAATTTTTTTATATATACATCTACACATCCTTAATTAGCTTAATTCATGAATCTCTTACAGCCCACAAACAGGATATAAAGCTAAATCAAAATGATATAAAAAGGGAAAAATCCATCAAAAGGCAACAAAAAAGGCACTGAAAGTGCGGCACATAATCAACAAAAATTACTTTATTTTATATCCCATCCTTACTGACTTGATCTTCTGTAAGAGGCCACCTGCATGGAAATGACGAGAATGAGATACGATGGCTGTTTCAGTCGAGTGATGATTTATGAGAAGGCATAGCTTGCTGAAAAGGGCAAAAAGTCATGTCAACACAATTATCACTTCAGTGAGAGATTTTAAAAAAGTGCACTCGACGGATGTGCTTCGGCAAAGAAGTAAAATTTCATCACTTATTTTTTAAAATTTTCCATTTCAGGTGAGCACTTGAGAAGATATGAAATTGTACATTTGGATTCTTCTTGTTGATGTTCATGCAAAAAAGGATTTAAATTGCTGAATAATGAATGAAATAAGGAACTGACTTTTCATAATTTAATTTTAATTTGGTAGTTCAGAATTATTCATGAACTGCTTTAAAACCATTTGCTTGACTTTGAACTGCGATTATTTCGAATCTTGTTTATTCAGTCATGACTCTTCTTAAATCCAACAATAATGCATGTAAAAAATCCAATTTATCTTGGGATTACGAGTTTTAAATTTTATACAATGACATTGATGCTAATGACCAAGGATTGGTCAAACAGATTGTTTATGCTTTGTAATATTATTTATTAGGGATCAGGACAGAGTTGGTATTTAGAAAAAATTATTGTAGATCCTTGAGGTTTGTGATTCAATTGGCCAAATCCTATTTAAAACTTCCCAAAACACACTATTTCAAAACAATGAACCACACTGAAATATTCCTTAAAGTAATCATCATAAATCTCAAATGACTTGACAATTTAAGACAACTTCGGCTAGCTTGGATTCTGAAAATAACAGATTTTCTCATATAAATCCTCCATGAAGGTGTCTTACCTTCCCATGACAACAATTTTTCCATTTTTATCCAATCATCCAACAAATTTCATTTGCAAATATTGTCTGTCCCAACACAACTTATTCAATATCATTCAAAATAAATATATCCATGAGACATTTGAATGCAATTTGAAACTCATCAATTCCATTTGGAACATTTGATCGAACTTTATTGTCTGCTTATAATGAAATTTGAATTTTCCACAATGACACTCACATCACAAATGCATTAAAATATAGACAAAACTTCAAAAGGATATAAAATCTATTTTGATTTTCATATTTTTATTTACTTTTCATTTTCGATTTGCAATTTGTTGTTTGGCATTAAAATTGAAATTCTGTGTTTATGAGTGTATGAACATGCCAAATAATAAAATGCTGAAAATGAGGAATAAAAATTATCATCATTTTTAATTCATGGATACATTTATACATTTTCATTTCAAATGAAATTGCGCATTTTGTGCGGAAATGAAATGATAAAGTGGAAATAATTCAATTAAATTGTGCTTGTTTTTAGCCCGTATTTGAATTTGGAAATTATTTTTATGATCTCGGTATAGGGGCGGTTTTAAAATTCTTCTAGCGTTGCGTTAATATAATTTCAAGTTTTTTGAGCAATCAACGGGTTTTGAGTTGAGGTTTCGGGAGACCTTTTGTTTTTTCGTTGGAACTTTACGAGCACGAATTTACATTTTACGATGGTGATGATGAAATCCCCAAAGAAGGGCACACACTAACAACATAATTCAATTTTCATTCATTATCCTCTATTCATCATGCAATAATCTACATTTTAGCACTGAATGTAAAAATCTATCCAACAAATTTTTGAAAATGCTTCATTTTTGTTTCTGAAAATAGATTGAACTAATCAATTTAAGATTTGAAGCGAATAGCGATTCCTAGAGTTCTACAACTTGGCGACTACCTTTGTCTTAAAAGACTATTAAATATGTAGATATCATATGAGAACTCACATTTTTAAGGGAATGCTGTAAGAATATCAATCAAACATCATGTGATAAACAAAATATTTTCTTGTTCTTATATAGACACCCTAGCAATCGATGAAGCTACAAACGATTCCTTTCTCCAATTATTCCAATCAAAAGGTATAGCATGAAACTAAATTAAACACTAAATTGATGGAAGTGTCTTTCCATTTAAACATACGTGTGTGTATTTTAAAATTGAATTAATTGTCTGTTGGGATGGGAAAGACAAACTCATGAGTATCGATACATGAAAATAGATCTCTTGGGTATTCTCACCAAAACTTCAAAGAACATTCTTCTTCTCGGATGCTTTGAAAGCATGAAAATTTATAGTTAGCAACGTTAAGGATCAAAATAGAATTCTCTTGACAATAGAAACATACAGCAACAAAATTCCTGGTCATTTTTCATTGGGCTTCTCACACAAATCATTAATTACAAATGCGAAGCATGTCTTAGCACTACAGAATGTCTCACACCCGGAAAAAGAATTTTTGTTCATTCACTCACTGTCATATAATTTCAACGCATTTCGTGTGTATCATTTTCAATTTTTGGGCCTTAACTGAAAGTGTAGATAAAATACTCTACGACACAAAAAACTTTTAGCTTAAAGCAATGCTTTCGAAAAATTAGAGGGAAAAAAGGAACGTGGGTAGATTGGGAAAAGGGACATAAATTTAGTGAATGAAAAATGATACTCTGAGAATTGCTTATGTTGTATTTGTTTCTCTCTTTATATATGCGACAATATTTTTCACTGACTTGTTTATTTGCTTCCGGCCTAGCAGTCAGTACTCCGATGTATAAACAAAAAAAAAATTTAATCAGAATAAAAAATAGATACATGTTATGGGGGACTGATTGCTTGTTAGAAATGATCATAGAAATCGATATCTAAGTTCAGTGTCAAATGTCTGAACATTGTTTAATCTTATAATGTCCCCAAATAAAATTCTGACTTCCCACAAAGCAACACTGCCCCCTTCATGCACGTACCATAAAACAAAAAAAGAAGCAAAGAAGAAAATCAAATTTACTCACCTATTGCCATTTTTATTTTTACTCGATTTTTTTCTCGGATTTACAATTTCGATCCATTTCTTTATTTTAGCTCCAAACATTGCTGCCACACACTAGTAGGGGCCGAACGTCTCCGTGATATGAGAGGTTGGCAAATAAAACGCAAAAAAATGAAAATATTCTGTGATGAGTTATGAAATATGGTTTTGATGTCTTTGCAGTATGTGTCCAACGAATAGCACTATAAAAATTAATTAATGAAATAGTCTGCGTTCACTGAGTAAATCCGTTATGTCAACTTTATATATTCAGTTTAATTTTTATTTCACACTGTTATTGCGGGCTTTATATACACTGGCACTTGATGTCAATAGTTATTAGTTTTGATGATGCTATCGTTTGTTGTCTGTATTCATAAAAATGAATGCTTTTATGTTTTGGCACGAAAATTAATGCTTAGATTGTTTCTGTTTTATTGCACTCAATAAATATCTCGGAAAGAAATTGCTTTCTCAATATTTGAAAAGTTCCAATTTATGCGATGCTTTTTACAAGAGAATGTAATTTTTCTCTCAAAAAATGTCAATAAAACATTCTCCAATTTTAATATTCATGATTCATCTTGTAAAATTTTGCATGCATGCCTTATCAGCATTCAAGCAATACACAAACATTTTTTTTTCAATTTAATTTCATTGCATTTCAGTTCATCATCTTGTTCTTCTTCTGCCTTCCAAAATGACATTCAAGATTTTTTTTTATTTTTTTTTCTACAATGCTTGTGTTTGTAGGACTTAAAAAATTGTGAATATGAGAAAAAAGTTCGTCGCACTGCACATGTTATTTTGGCACAGCTACATGTTCCTTGCACATATCACTACTGAGATTTTTTTCTTATTTTGTATTTTATATTTTTCTCTCACTCTATCTCAGCCTTGCTGTTGTTATGTCGACATGTTGAAGCTTCTTTCTGCTTGCTTTCGTGTACTGTAAAGAATAATAGAATGAAAGATTTTTATTATTAAATATGTGGCAGACTCAAGTTTCATAATAATAAAGTTTTCATTTATTCTTCTTATTCTAATGTGTATTCCTATACATTATTCAACCCCTTTAAACTTTAAGCTCCAAAGCGTGTGTATGAGGTTCGCTTTAACATTTGAGAGACATGAATGAGTTTGCATGTAGTGATTCCTACTGGGAATTTTTTGCTCGAGACTTCCTAATGAGGGTTTCTTTTTTTGGTTCGCTGCTTGAATTATTTTCAAGTGAATAAGTCAAATTTCCTTCCGACTGCTTGATGATTGCTCTGTGAATGAAGAACTTAGACCATGTGATGTATCTTGAGAAATAATGAATGTCGAAGTAAAGGCTTCTTATTTCTGGGACATGCGATCAACATCCAGGATTGATAATAAGTAAGTATTCACTGAAAGCTAGGGTTGTGACTGCAGACATTCTCACAATAAACTCATAAATTGAAATGTTTGTGTTAAAAGAAACTATGTTTTTAAGTATCTTTAGGTATGGCTGCATACCAATACTAAAAGTTGTAATCTAAGCTTTCTGAATAAGAAAGCTTCATGCCCTTAAATCACATCAAATGAGCGATCAAAAGGTCCATAATTTTTTTCTTCTTCAAAAACATTCCACAAAACCACTTCAGAAGCATGAAGCTGTCTTAAGAGATGTGAAATGATTCAGAAAAATTTCAATCGTAAAATTTTGATTACTTATTGAGTCAATAAAGCTTTACTCAATAAAGCTCTTTTTGTTCTAATAAAAAAAATTTTCACTGACAGCTTAATGTACGACATAAAATTTAAGAGTTCTTACTTTTATTAAAAGCTCTGAATTCAGTTTGAAAAAAATATTGCAAAAAGTTTAATATTCAGCACGACACAGTATGAATAAGAACCCCCAAATGAGTTGAGTGCCAAACGTAAACTTTACCCAGATTAAAAAAGATTTTCTCAAATGCCTTAACAAGATAAAAATATGTATAGGATCAGGCATAAGGAAAAGCGGAAAATTCTACCTTTCACTTAAATAATTTATTACGATTCGCGTAATGCTAATATTTAACAACACATAAATAATGGCCCACCATAATAGTAATAAACATTCACATTAAACCGCACGCCGTTGAATTCATCAAACTAGGTATGTAATTTGAGTATTCATGTGGTCAGCCGACAATAAATGCGATTGTAACATTCTGTCAATATCATGAAAATGAAATGGAAAACTTTTCTATGGAAAATGTTTTTTACGAAAAATTTATAAAAAATTTATATTTATTATTTTTTTATTTTTGTTTGTGAGCCAACCACACTTCTAAATAATTCATGAATGCATAATTTGCTTTCTCATAATGTACATTATAATTTTGTTGAAAAAATATCTCACAGTAAAAAATGAATAAATAAAAACATCGTTAGGGACGACCGGATGTGAGGAATAAATGAATAATGTGACGCTCGATCCATATGAGAGAAGCGTCACCATTAAGGTAGGATCCAGATTATGCCATTTCATTTTATATTCATACAAATAAGATCAGAATGAGTGAATTTAAATTGCTAAATAATGTCTCAAGCTTTTTTTTAATCACTTAAAGGCATTATTATAATTTATTGAGCTTTATGTACCTTCCGGCACCATTGAGGAAGTGCTTTATGCAAATTTAAAATTCATTACTTGTATAATCAAGAGTTGAGTGCAATCTGCATCTTTATGGAATATAATAAATAATGTATAATAATTCACACAAAGCTCTCTGTCTCTCGCTCAGTGATTGTCTTCGAGGCATCATTTGTAAAAAAATAAATTTTTTAAAAAGATAATAAAATGTACGAGAAGATTTATGTCGATAAAATTCCTTATAAACTTTTATGGTTCTTTAAACATTGGAATCGAGAAGAAGCAGACATAAGGACAACAAAAAAGGAGATATAATTGGAAAAATATGAAATGAATGGACAGTATAAGCGCATTTTTAAAGCATTGCTTAAGAGGAAGGTGGCTGGAACCAAATTTAACCAAAAATCAACGATTTTAAAAAGTTTCGAGATTTAAGACCAGCTTGCATTTTTTAAATTCTGGATTTATTTGTCTTTAAAATTAGAATCAAAATATTGTCTGAGGCATCAATGCTGCTGGATTTGAAGAGTCTTTGATTGTAAATTTTTCATCAACACCCCAACTAAGGTCTAGCAAATATCCAACAAACTTAAACTTTACCAAGCATTATCAAGAATTAGCCTCAGTTAAAAATAGATTGACTTGCAAACAAATATAAAAAGTTCAATAAAGTTAAAAAGCAAGCCAAACAGAAGAATAAGAAGCTCTATATACCACAAGAAAAAGTTCGAACCAAGAAGAGGATGGAAGATGCGATGAATTATGAGGCCAATTGAAATGCTGGCACATGCTGGAGAATTTTTCTTTCATTCCATAAATAAATTTATTGTAGATATATATTGAAGGCAAAGAAAAAACTGTAATAGTCAATGCATTTTATCTATGAAAGCTATGAGAGTATATATTGAAAAACGAAGCTTTCATTCCATCATATCTCGACGTCAATTCAATAGACATATAATCGAATGCTCTGCCACGCTCACTCGTCCGCTATTTCTATGCCAACGTAAAATTTATTATCAAGACAAAAAAAATATTTTCTCTGTAATAACTTTGATAGAAAATTGGAAAATTGTTTTTTCTAAAGCTGGGCAAGTCAGTCAACCCACGGAAATGAAAGGGATGAGAAGATAAATATTGAGGGAAGAAAATTCTTTCATTTTTTGTTGAATTTTACTTTCTTTCTCCATTCGATTGAATAAAGTTCGATTTTCTCTTCATTGGTATATGCTTGGATAAAGGAAGAATAGCTGTATACGAGCAGTCAAAGGAAAAGACTATCAAAAATAGATTTATTAAATTGAAAGCCGTTTCACAATTTACGAGTCGAATTTTCATATAATTCCATGCCTTGCCCTTTTTTTTTCAATATTATTTTTCCTGTTCATTCTCATTCCAATTTTAAAGTCGGTCGTACATCTCCAGCATAATGTGTGTGGAGAAAAGCTCAAAGCGCTCGTAATACTATTACTTTATGCCTGCCTCATATTTTACTCGGTACATAGAAACCTTTTCTCTCAGCAAATTCAAGTATTTATTTACATCCACACGGGTTGAGTATTTAAAACTTCCCATTTGATCCATTAGTTATGCTGCTTCTGTTATAACTGCTTTATCATGGCCATGGGATTGAAGATTTCTTCAAAGTGGGGAGAGAGTATCGTAATAAAAGGGGAACAAAGCGTAGTACATGTGAATGTGTATTAAACGTGCCTCTAATTCACAATCATATCAGGATACTAAACTACTTCTTATGCTGAATTTTACAGTGCATATTTCTTTCCTCTAACAAACAATGTAAAAAATTGTACTTGAGAGGATTGAAGAAATCTACTAAATTATTGTTTTCTAAGCTAAATGGCTTAGTTTACAATTTATATGATTCACAATGGATCATGAATGGTAGGCATGTACATGATGATTTTTGCACCATACGACATGAGCCCAATTTTGTATAAATATTTGATATTTAAAAAGCCTATTTGAAGTTGTACAATCTACATCACCTTTACTGAAGTGCATAAATGGAATAACATGAATAATCTGTTGTTGCTATTAAGGGGCTTTCTGATTTTAAGGTTGGAAATTTGAGAGGATTGCTTTGAAGTGCTGCATAGAGTGCATGAGATTGATGGTTGTTTTAATGGTCTACAGATTTTGGCTGTTCAATATGATTGATTTTGTGTGTATGAAATATTTATAGACTGCAATAAGAGTTTGATGACTGCTGTGAACAATTGAAATGAAAGTTTAGAGTAGATGTCGTTTAGTTATTGCTAGTTTTTGAAATTTGGAGTAGTGCATTAAATATGGCATTAGGAATTTGAAGCCAACTTCAAGGACTTTAAAATATAAAGACAATATCTCAACATCATTCATCTCCAAGACCAGATGGCAGGCCTCATAAATTAATTTCAATTTGACTCAAGCACTAATGTAAATTTAATGTGAGAAAATTTTGCGCATATTTTTTGTTATGCTGATTCATCGATTTTATCACAATATGCAAAATGAACAAAATCATGCATGCATGATACAAAAACGTTATTGCTGACTTCATTGCCTCTTAAAATTAATAATATCTCCAATAGTTGTTGTTGTTGTGTCCTGAATTAGCTATTATATGCTTATTAAAATCTCGATGCCACTTCATAATCCTCTGATCCAACAAGTAATGACATACTTATGCAATGCATTGTTCATTCTTTACATAAATTTATGGATATCTGCAATAGAAAATTTCCCTTTTATATATTCAGTTGTTGCAATGTGCAGTAAAGAATGGAAAGCAAAAAATCTATAAAGCATCACATAAAATAAAATACGGAGTTGTGCCTCATTTTTGTATGCTTTCATTTAAATTCAGACGGGGTGTTAGAGGATGTATACATAAGGATCTGAGAGAAAAAAAAGGGGAAAAGAATGTAGTAGTAGTGGTAGTGGAACAGAAGTCATGATTATATTGCGATGAAAAACAATACGTGGATAAATTTTAATAGCAGAATTTTTTTTCAATTTTCACATTTCAGCTATGCTTTTTCTGCAGAAATAAAGAGAGAAACAATTACATTATCAGCAATTTTTGTTTTCATTGATTCCGTACTATTTTTATTGTACTTTTTTTATACTTTATAGTACCTGTTTCATATCAATTTCTGTAACGTATCTCTTGAATAATAATGTGATGTTTACTTGGTACTTTATGATGGTTTGGGTATGAATTAGGAAAGAATATTGCTGATTGTCACTTAATGTCGTACTTGGATGATTCAATATTCTATGAAACTACTGCTTACTGCCCCTTAAAATATGTTCCAATTTTGAATACTTTACATGCATTTTTGGTTAAGGAAGAAATCAAATCAAGTCAAATGCTCCACTTTCCATTTTTAAAAATGTTTCCGGTTCGTGCCAAGAAATCGATAAAAGTGAAAACTCTCTTCACTTTTGACAGAATATCTTGGTTTTTCTTTTTATATCTGTATTGCAACCCTCCAGATTTTCTCAGCATCATCTTCTGAGTAAACAAACATGAAAATTTACTTACTGCTTTCTGTCTTATTTTAAAAATGTCATCATTTATTCATACATGCTTTATTCAGAACTTTCTTCCCGTTTTTTTGTAAAGTATGTGGTAATTGACAAGGATTTAGAATTTTTCCGCAAGTTTGTGATTGTTTTGCGTGAATTTGATAGAATTTTTCATGATTTTCGGGGCAAAGCTGTCATAAAAGTACATTTTTCGGTCATTCCCCTTATTGCCATTATTCAAAATTATTAGAATCACGCAATTCAGCTGTATCAAAACATTAAGTTCGACACGAATGAACAATAATGATCAAAAGATTGAATATAATTAAGGAGGACTAGACTCTTGGGTATTATAAAATGCATTGAAAATTTCATTCCTTCTTGATCGAAACCAGATAACCGCGGTTTGCCAGAGATGCGCTACATTTTAATTTTTTCACTAGGGTATACAGAATGAAATGCAGAATAATTTCTGTTAAATTTCAATTTTCATTCATGCCACATTTTAAAATAATGAAAGGTTCATCGATAATGTTGAACTAATATCAAGATTAAAGGAAACTGGAGAGGCATGAAGTTTAATATATCCTATGGGAAATATATCAAAATGAAAAGCTGTGAAATTGATATATGGATATGGATTGAAATTGACACAACCAAATCAAGTGTTTTTTACATTTGTGTGAATGTCATGTAGACATAAAAAATTCGTAGATCGAAAAATCGTTTCACATCAAATGCATATTTATCAATCGAAAATTGACTTTTTTATGTGAGTATGTGATGATGAAGACGGCTTGTTCACAGAGATAGAACACAATAAATATGAAAATGATAACCCAATTTCCTCAATCTCCAATTTCTCCGTGAATATTTTATATGTATGATATTGCCACACGATGTCGTCTTATCAATGTTAAAAAGCTATTCATTGTGATATTTCATTCATCTCATTTTTATTCCTTTTATTCTCTTTCCTACGCTTCAGCTCGTTCTCTTTCATATGCAGTCTATGGCCCCACATTATTTTTTATATTCGCATATGATTACGCATCTTATTTGCTCTTGAGAATCTCATCAGAGATTTTTTTATTCTTTCCTCCTATTTAACAAAAAAGAATGCTATTCAAAATAAGAGAATGAGCCTGTCATTCACTTGAAACTACGTTCGCAAGACTATATAAACGTAGGTGATATGAGCGCAGTTATTGATGCTTATATTTATAGAAATCAAGCTCCTAGTTAAGTGATTCTTTTTTCTAAAGTTTAAGCAACAAGCTTAAAGTCAAAGGACAGCTCTATCAATAAAACTTGCCTAGACCCTCCAAAGCTCCCTTAATTTTCATTGAGCCTATTTTTTTCCAATTCCAGACAAATTGCTCACTTCAAGTCCCTAATTCTCCTAGAATACCTTCAACTCTATGAGAGATGGGTGAAGATGAGTAGAAAATTTATGAAAATAAGAACTGCTGTCAAAAGAGACGAGGAGCGAATAAAAAAGTTTATAAAAGTAGCAAATCATTCGCAAGAATGAGCATTTTAAGTAGTAACATTAAGGTGGTGTGAGGTCAATCCTGAATATATAAATATTAAATTGTACAGTGAAACTGTGTGGCTGTGTCTACATTCTCTTCTGTTAAAAAAGAATAAACAGGAAAAAAGATAAATAAATAAAACGTGGGTGGACAGTGAAAAGGAACCATAGAATCATGACTGCAGCATTGGCAATGTAATTTTCACATTAATTTCAATTTTCGGTTGTTAGCTGTGATTTTTTACACGCCAAAAAATATTACAGAAAAAGTTTAGTGTATGGCCTTTCGCTATTGCTCATTCAGGATTGTTCGTCGCTTCAGCTTGACTGTCGAATAGAGAAAGCTATTAATCACGTAAAATATATTAAGAATGTGAAGTCTTATGTCTACAATGATACACATCTACTAAACATAAATAACAAAGGAATTAAGGTGATGAAAAACTTTATTTTTTTTTTGTATGTGCACCTCCATCCTCACATACGTACACTTCATTAAAGAAATGCTCGGGGAATTGTGTGCATGCTATTTTTATACCGGGCTCTAGAGAGTATTCACGTGTACTGACTTAATTTATTTTCGTTCTATATTTTGAGTCATTTATCATTATCTATTTTAATTATCTCAAGTTTTGAATGACTTTATATTTTACTAGTGTATGTTTTTTGATCCCGAAAACTTTACATTCTCGCTTTCAATGAGAGAGGAATTTTGTTAAAGAGACGGGGAGATTGAGCTTGAGAAGATTTACGATTTAAGTTATTTTGAGTGAGATGCACGATGCAATGTCCCAATCCAAAAAAATAAAAACTTTTTTGATGGTCACTAAATCACTAGATGCTGGCGCTTGATGACATTTTTTAATGACAAAAATCAGTAGTTTTCTTATCAGTTCCTTAAAGCTCTGCTTAAAAGCCCCCAATGTTAGCTCAGCACCCTCACAAATAACTTTATACAGTCAGATTCAGTCATTCATTCTTCCATACCACAGCCTATAATCTGATTTAAAAAGTTTTTTCCTTGTAATTTGGGACGCAATTTGTATTGTACTTCTCTGTTGTATAAAACTCCTTAGCATATTCGATTAAAAATATCCTCATAATATTTCCGTTGCGTAAGTGCTGATTATCTATAAAAGGAAAGCTTCAACAAGCCCTCATTATCGTTAATTTTTTCATTCACATTATCTTTCTATCATCATCAAATTTATTGTTCCTGATCCTTATGAATATTTTCTTATTCTCTTTTAGACGCTGACGAAGGACATTTTCAGTTTCTATGCGTATGGTAATCGTGACCAAATTGAATTTATTTATTTAATGTACAATAATGTAAATGAGATCGAGGCCGGGTGTTTCGAAGAGTTTACAAACGTACGAAATATCAATTTCGGTGTCAATCTATTGGAAACAATCAAGCGGAACTTCTTCGAAGGCATTGAGAAAATTGAATTTCTAAATTTTCAATCGAATCTTATTCAAAATATCGAAAGGGGAGCATTTGATGACTTGAAATTTTTAGAATATATCTATCTGGATGACAATTGCCTGATTCAAATTCATGATCATTTATTTCGTAACACGATACGAATTCGTAATATATTTTTACAAAACAATCGATTGACGAGCATATCCAGCAAGTTTATGCGAACGAATCAAAAACTGTATGGACTAAATGTGGCCGATAACGAATTGTACGACATATCCAATTTATTTCGCTTCAAGGGTCTGATTGCTCTCACTATAAACAATAACAAATTGAATGCAATCAATGGCGATGTGATAAGTGATGGAAGTGAAATTGTTTCATTGAATATTGACAATACGACACTTTCGAATATAAATTTTGTAAGGAAATTGAAAAGGATTCGAGAATTGTCAGCTTCTAATAATCAACTAAGATTGTTCGATGTGAGAAAACTAAGCGGATGTAATGACTTAACCTACATTTCAATTCAATTGAATCCATTGGAAATAATTTATGGACTCGAAATTGTTGAGAATGTCCTGCCAAAGCTTTCCGTTCTAGATATCACCGATTGTGTAGTTGAGAGCAATTGTCTACGCTTGTTAGAGCTCTATAATATTGCAAATGATAAATCCTTGAATCTCAATATAAACACAACAACATTAAGTGCCTGTTTAAGTGTCTAAAAGGAATCTATATATTTTTCCTCGCTCTTTTGTTTACAACCATAAACGTTCATATATAAAAGGAAAAGTTTGTGTAATTAAATACATTAGACGTGAAACTTTTTCCTTCATCCTATATAATGACATGAAACGAGGACATTACTTAGCACAGCTTTTAAAAAGTCTTCTTTGTCATGGTTTTTTCTCCTTCATCTTCAGTTTTTTTAAGCACATTTACAGCAGTAACTGAGACTTTGTATTCCTTTTGACTGATTTAGATTGTTTGCTTGACGTCAGTGTCTTTTGTTGCCTGCAACTTGCATCGCTGGATTTTTGCTGTTGCTGACAAAGAAAGCTTATTGACTTTGTAGATGTGCATACTTGAAGTTTCAAGCAAGCTAGCGATGACATTACTTAAACTTGGGAGAAATTTATATCAGAGTCAGCATCAAGTTAGCAGCTTGTAATTGCTACTTATTCTGATGTAACTATCAAAATTTTCTCTTAAAATGCGCCTTACGTTTTTACATCCCAAAAACAATTTTCAACTTAATTCTCTTAATCTTGCATCATGCTCCTTGCTACCGCCATATACACAACGAAGTCTTTCACTTTTGGATTTTGTTTTCATGTTTATGAGAAAAGGCGTTTGGTGTTGCTTTTGCCATTGCTTTTGTTGTTGCTGATGATGATGCTTCAAATTTTCTACCAGATAATTCAATAAAGAGAGAGAGCGAAAATAATAATAAAGGACATACAACAACCTATTGTTTCTTGCCTCTAGATTTTTTTCTAACACAATAATAAATTGCTATTAAAACATAAAAGAAATGACGGAAAATTTATTGCCTATCAAGTTTACTTCTTTTCTACGTTTATTATTATTATATGTCTCGTGTCTATTAAGTCTTTTTTGCTGCTGCCTTCTCTATAAGACCGTGTGTAAGTCTATTCAATGGAATATAAAATAACACCACAGAAGGATCTCGTGCTAAAGCTTTTCACATCCCACCCCCTTCTATACATTTTTTGGTCGTTCATCTACACACAAAATATGGTTTTAGTCGAGCCGAAAAAAAATCTCTATTCATTCACTTCCGTACCAATTGTGTGCACGAAATTGATGTTGGGATAAAGGTACATAAAGATATCAAGTGAAAATTTTTCACCCATTTTCTATGTATTCTAGCTTTAGGAATTTTTATGGTTGAAATTATTTTTATTGCATCTTTATTTTCAGCTCTTGACGATTTTTATGCAGGAAAATGGAAGATAGAAAGTTACTGTGGGGTAAAACTTTGTGTGTAAACATATATTGTTCTTTTATCGCCTTATAAGTTGCGGTTCATTATCACATTGTATAAATGATTATAAAAAAAGATTACAAAGTCTGTAAAACCGCAAGCTTAAATTGAATAATCGCTTCTGGTTATAGAAATTGTTTTGCATGTTAACGATTATGATGAATAAAAATAATCTTGAGACTTGTGGCGTTGAATAGAAAAATATAGTTAAGGAGTTCAAAAAATATTAAATTTTGAAAGCAGCTTCCCACGTAACCATAAGTCGACGAATGGAAGATTTTATGTATTACATCAAAATCTTCCATGTATGTTCCATATGTACATTCCATGTATCGTACATTGGACATTATGCTAATATGAAAAGGGACGATTTTTAGTCGATTTTACGTCGATTTCACGTCGATTATTTTTTTGAACCAAAATCAAATTTTTTTTGACCGTTACAATATAAAAACCGATTAACGGAAAAATTTTGAATTTTTTTGTATGAAAATATTTTTTGTTAATTATACTATATTTTGTAGACAAAATCCAAAAAAATTAATTGAGGATTTTGTCTTTGAAAAAAAGAATCGAAGTCTTCATTTAGATGAATGATTCGCATGTAATTAATTTAATTAATTAATCACACTTTGTATGAAAATTTTGCTGTGCCTTATATAAGTGATTTCTGATTGCACTTGTGAAGTATATAGCGGCTCAAGAAAAACGAATGTAATGGATGAAAAATCGACGTCTATTGGATCATCCAAAAAATTGTACATTTAAGTCGATTTTTTCATTGACGGCGATTTTGGTTACGTGGGTTAAGATTGTCCAAATTAAAAATGTTAATTTTTTGTTGCTCCTGAATATGGTTTTAGCTTCTCTTCGCATGGAAATGGAGATCATTCATATTAAGACATAAATATAGACAAAACATAACCATAAATAACTCTCGTCCTTCCAAAGTTGTCTCGAAACTTTCAAAGTAAAACTTTCAATCTACAAAAGCTATAAAAAGTCTGTCATCAGGAACAAAAAAGTGTCTCAATGGTATAATTTTATAGCTTAATCTTACGACGGTAACTAAAACTTTTACAACTATTTATTCATCACCCGAAGTTGTGTCTGCTGTCGATAATTATTTATTTATATACATTTTCTCGTACACAATTTATCTCGCGGGACGATGAGGAACCTACGACAATGCCAGAAGATACACAATTGTACATAAAATGAATCAAAAGCTCTTTTAATGCGAGACTCAAGTGTTCTCGAGTTTCTTTTATTCATTTTTTATGTTTTCGCGTGGCAACAACTGCTCATATATGCTACAAAATTTCTTTAGGCTTAAACTCTTATTTTCCATTATGCCTTTATTGGAATTTCCTTTTTTATTTCTGTATGTGAGGCATAAATTATTTTTTCATGTAATTTCCAACAAGTTTAAGCTCCATTTTAGATCATAAATTTCTCTTATTGTAGTTATGAGCTACTATCATCATTCTAGAATTCCATTCCTTATTCTTACTCTTTCTTCTTCCACATCCATTCATCCTTTCATTACTCATCTCGACAGAATGTGAAAAACAATTTTTTTTGTTCCTTTTTCATTTCATTTCCTTCTACGAGAGTTCTAACTTTTGCGGTTTATATGGGAAAAGTGCCATTATTCTACAACTTTTTCCTTTTTCCGCATTTTTGCGAACTTTTAACCAGCATATCTCATACTATTTCGCTCACAATAGAAAAATATAATGTGGTTGGAAGGTAAAAAGGGGAAGAAGTAAAGAATGAGAAATGAAATGCTTTTGAGGATTTTTTTTTCTCTCCATCCACGCTTTTGCTCATTTAATGCTGCTTTACTCGTAACTTTTATTGTTCATCAGTTTGCCAATTGTTTAAATTTTTTGTTCATTTTGCAGCACATTTTTTTGAGGTTTGCAGTTTTGGAGGGAAAATTGAGTTTCTGATGTTGTTTTGGCATGCTAATCAATGGATAGTAGTATGTGATTTAAGAGTTTTGGTAGACAAAGAGTTGGATTATAACTTTTCTTGGCTATTATGGTAAAAGATCACTTTATTGCAACTGGTATGATGATTTTCGATATGGCTTTGTGTGTAATACGGGTAAAATCAAACTCAGAACTCAACATCAATTTGAATTGACTAGAGTCAACTTTAATCATGTCTTAGTCATGCTCTTTTTCAATTTTTCAGCTCTTCAGACTCGCCTATAAATTTATTGTCTAAGCCATAATCATAAAACAGCAAGTGCTGAAATTAATGCGATTCCTTGAATATTAAGAATTATAATAATCTATTGGTTATGAAATTGCTCCCATGCGATTCCTATATAGACTTTTTAATACATTATGCTTAATGCTGAATGCGTTTAAACCATTTCCCCTTAAAATATCCATTTGCAATTTGTTTCATCATCTACACATGGATGCTCTATATGCTGTAGAACAATTTGTGTCGAAACAAAAAGGATAAAAGTAATAAAAATTATTAAACAAATTTTCTTATTTTTTTGGGATCGAAGAAAAAAGGAAAAAAATTTCTTGCTGGTTTCTTTCAAGTGAAAATATGGAAAAATAATCATCGCCATTTGGGGAATTTCTAATAAAGGCACTGTTTTTTTTTGTTTTCTCTTGTTCTATTGTTTCTGCACATCTGGCGATTGGCATGTGCCTATATTCTTATTTTTTTGTCGGTTCCAAGCTGAGAAGCTATTCAATAACTAAATTAAAATAACAATAAGAAGAAAAAAATACACTTGGGGGTTACGACAGAGTGAGAGAGAGATTGATGAGATGGAATGTGGTCGGTCTATGTAGATACGCTTAATAAAGATTCTAATTGGAATAATGAAAGCATAACGATAAAATTGAATTTTAAATCTCCTCCAAATTTTCTTAAATATTTTTTTTTCGAGGTAGTCATTCCGTTGCTTAATTCAATTAAAATTAATTAAATTATTTTGAATATTGGGACATAATTTTCGCTTGCATGATTATTCAATTATTAATAAATGGAAATGATTTACATACATTTCCTAAAATGTAATTTGATTTTACAAATGGATCGATATGTATTTTAGGGAATTTACCAGAATTTACATTTTTTGTGCATGAAGTATTTTAAACATGCTGACCAGACACGTTTTTGATGGAATTTCGATTGAATTGATTTGGTTTAAAAGAGATTGAGTCTATTTTTTATGGAGAAGTTCTGTTGGATTATTGAAGGATTTAAATGGAGTTTTTGAAGAGGGCCTGATAACAAATGACGTCAATTAAGATATTTTTAGACATTGTAGCTCTAAAATTATCAACTTAATGCAAATTAAAGGTTTTCAATCAAACCAAACAGAATCTAAAATAATGAAGAAATCAGTCTTGAATCCCCACCAAAAAGGATCCATAAATTTATCTCAATAAATATAAGCAGCAAATGGATTGTAAACATGAACATAGCCCATAATTCTATGCGATTAAAGAAGAAATATCAATTATGAATGTATGTATGACAAACTTTTTATCCTCATCTCAAGTCACCGCATTCCATCCATCTCCTCATGTCTTCCTGCTATCCCTCTTCTTTATTTTATTGCATTACCAAAAGAAAAATAAGAAGAAAATGAGAGAGATGAGGAAAAAATAACGTTTTTCATAGAACGAGATGAAAAATTCCTAAACATAAAATCATTACACACAATTTCCTCATTTTTCTCCACCTCACATTCTCTTCTTCGTATTCCTCTCATTTTTTTTGCTATTTTGAAGGCCCATTTTTCGTTTTTCACCCCTCATTTCAGAAGCATCTCATTCATTCAATTTTATTGTATGGAGACTTATTTAACTACATACAGAAGGAACATAGAAAACTAGTAGCAAATGTCATTAGGATAGCGGCTGTATTGAGCATTTTGATGTTTGTTTAATCAGTTTAATGGATAGTCGATTTTTTCGATGGATGTCTTAAGACAACCACATAACATTCATAACTTTGTGGTACCCAAAGACGTAGTTTATTTAGATACAATAATCTAGCAATGCGAATCTAGCAATTCTAACGCATTATCCGAAAATATATTCCTTAAATCTCAAAATGTCACTAAAGACAAAATGAACATACACAACATCCTCTTACTATTTATAAATTGCACAAATAAAATCATCCCGTCAACTTACGTGAATATTTTTGTCTGTATATGTATGTGAGTATCTTCTCTTCTCCTATTTACGACAGCAACCTGCTCATTTTCATCTTTCCGCAATAATATATTTAATTTACATTATAGATAATAGTGAATAACATAGTTCAGTATTATGTTTGCTATTTTACTTGTGGACAAGATACACAAGACATTTTCCGATTCAAGCACATGAGCATAAATCACTCAAGATGTGTTAATATGAATGAAATTAATTTACACGGAAGTAGAGATACGAAACTGTACACAAAAATATTATTAGATAGAGGATAATTCACTAAGTTTTGGTTAATTAAATGGCTTTTTATTTTTTTCTTTCTTTTTCTTTACGGCAGAAAAATTCCCTTGACATTCACAATCCATTGATAAATTTCGGCGTCTGTACTTTTTTTTTCTTCTTCTTATTCCAACAGAACTTGTCACTTTCACTCACAAATCTTTTCAATTTATTTTCTTAAAATTTTCACACTTTTATTGCACTTCCGTTTCCACAACTTTGACCAAGAAAATTTAATTAATAAAATTAATGAAAAAAATTTGTAAAGTTTTTGTTTGATTATGTACAGCACATGTGAGTCCAATAAAATGCCTCTGTTCGTTCAACATCAAACTCAAACTGATAAGTTGGAAAAAAGAAATTTTTCCGCTACACGATGAATAAAGCTTTACTTTCCACTGTCGATGGTAATTATGGAAGTGAGAAGGCATGCGCATATCCAATGTTTTGGTATGACACAGGGTTTGAATGAATGAAAATGTTCATGTGGTATTTTGCCTGATTTCGTATCTGATTAACTGTGTGTACGTTACTATAGTGGTATAACGTACAACCCCAAATATTACACGTTATATGTTTTAATTTTATGTAATTTCTTCTTCATGCGAATGTCGAAGAAGTATTTTAATAATCATTACTGCCAGACTTGTGGTTTTTTTTCTAAGTTTTATCTTTTTTTTCGTCGTTTCTCCTTTCGACAACAGCACGAGGAAGGGAACTCTTTTAATAAAATTTAATTACTTTACATTCACTGCCTGAAACTGTATGAAGCGTTGCGTTATATTTTATCATAATTATTTTTTGTGATTATGTGCTGAAGATTCCTTTTCTTGATACTCAAAGCGCGTAGTGTATGGCTTATTTAATAATAGAAGTAAATGGTGCAGAACTATTTTTTGGTGACTTTGCTTAATTAGGTTTTTTTTCTTATTTTGTTCTCAAACCTGTACGTGAAAATCGGACTGTCCTTTTTCTAATTGGTAGAAATAAATAATGTCAATTTATATGACAACTTAAACCTAAGAATTAATTGGTTCTCAGTTGCATGTTCAACATTCTTTAGTCGCAGGTTCTTCTCATTTGATCTGTCGTCGGTTATTGTCAATAAATAAAATTAACGAATTTCAGAACTTCATAATTTTGAACTGAATTTTATTAGTCCTTTTTGTAGATTTTTATATGTGTATGAAAGGATCAGATTAGGCAGGTAGAAACTATGAACATTATATTATATCTGATCGGTGATTACACTGAAAAAAGTACAGTCTTTTATTTTTCAACTTGGTTAACTTCTTTCAAAAATAATTTTTTTACAACAAAAAGTAAGTATTAAGCATATCCTTAAAACTGAGCATCAAGCACATCTGCAATTACTCATAATTTTTTCTTGATAACATGTTAAGCAATGGCAGCTGAAAACGAAAACTTAAGTTTGAATCCGAATGCAATTGAATACATCCCTATCAAAAATGAGGCAGTACTGTCGCAACGTTGTAGATTGATTAAAGATATCAAAGAAAATACACTAAAATGTATTATTTGCTTGGATGAAATCAAGGCAGTTGATCAAGTTTGGAATTGTGGAGCTTGCTTTCAAATTTTACATCTAGTGTGTATGAACAAATGGAAAATGGTACAGATTAGAAAAAGAGGAAGCTACAACTGTCCAGCATGCAATATTGAAAGTCATACACCCGTGATTCCATTGTGTTTTTGTGGAAAAGTCTTTGATCCTCCAGTCACTTGGAACCATTTGCCACATTCATGTGGGGATCAATGTCAAAAGCTATTGCATTGTGGACATTATTGTATCTTTACATGCCATCCAGGTCCTCATATAAGATGTGAATGTAGACCACCTCCTAAATTGAGAATTTTTATTGGTCTATTAATTTACTGGATATTAATTGGATTTAAACATGTTCGTTATATTTTAAGCTTTGAATATTTTTGCATTCATCTTTTGAAGACAATTATTGAATCATCAATTGTAATTCTTATCATAATTGAAAGAATGGATTGTCTAAACGATTATTTTTGGGATTCATATGATTTCAAATATTCTGGTGATTCCTTAAGACATTTACCACCTAGAAGGCGAGCAATCATAAATGAGCAACGACGTGTAAGATTACAAAAATTTTTTCGAAGAAGAATGCTTTATAGTGAAATGTAAGCCATAAGAACAGATGACAAATTCTTGCGAGATCGCAACAAAACTGATTGAACTAATAAAATTATTCATAATAAAATGACAGTTGAAATTTTAAAAATCGTAACGGAAATTATTTGAATTTTTTGTAGACTTTCAATTTTCAAAACTCTACGCTATTGTTTTGGTATTAATTGTGTAAAAGTTACAGACTTAAATTAATTAAATAATGGGGAAAGCAATGAGTGTCATAACGTCACCTTTCAAATATTATAATATAGAAAGTAGGGCACATAAAGTCATCAGTCAGTCGAAACCAGTAGTGGCTCCAAAATTCAAAGATACAATTAAAGATTTGGAAAGAGTACTTAAAGGTAAGAAAAACTTGAATAATTCAAAATAGAAATATAATTGTCATATATTTCATGACCTACAGATCATCCAGAGATAATAGAGCAAGCCGGTAAAAAGGATGCTGGACTTGATAATCGATTAAAACAAGTTTTTGTAACATCTTCCCATGAAATTGATCAGAAGCGAGTAATAAATCCAGATCGTCCACTTCCAACAAATAAGCACTTTGCAGGATTCTTTGAGCTAGGATATCAAGAGCCAGAGTTTTTAACACCAGGAAAAGTGACATTAAAGCAAATCCTGCAGTTTTTAGGTGACTATAGGCTTCATCCAGACGAATGGACAGCAGAAAAGATAGCACTGGAATATAAATTGAAGCTAGAGGATGTTAAAATGATGTTAGAATATTACAAACTATTTGCTCTTTATGTGCCTGAAAAAGGAGATGAAAAGAAGAGAAAATTGCTAAAGCAGCAAGAAACAAAGAATTTTAATCAATTGCTGAAACAGTCAACAGACAAAATTACATTCTTGCCAGACGAGAATCAACGTAAGCCGTCAAATAAAGAATATCCAACACGTAGTGATTATAAGGAATAGAATGAATTGTTTAAATGAATTAATTTTAGAATAAATTAGAATTTTTTGGTCTTACAAAATCAGTTTCACTTTATTACTTTTTAAAATACATTTGCAGGACAGTCGAAAAGTATAATTGATTTATCTTCAGAAACAGACACAACTCGATCATTGTATGGACTGTATTTGACACACCAAACTTGATCCTGATGATCATTGAATGTATGAATATTTTTTCGTTCATTAACTTCCCAAATCTTGACTGTCTTGTCAGATGATGATGATGCAAATCGCTTACCTGTTCCTGAGAATGACACGGAAAGAACCCAACTTGAATGGCCCGAAAGCGTTTGAACAACATCAGAATGAGCTACGTCATAAAGCTTCATATGTCTATCGTCGGAAGCAGTAAGTAACATTTGAGAATCTGGTGAGAAGCATAAACTTCTTACTGACATTGCGTGACCTTCCAATGTCTGAACAACTTTTCCAGCTTGAACATCGAAAATATTGATAATTCCATCGAGAGCACCAGATGCTATATATTTGCCATCAGGACTGTATGCGAGACTTAATGTAAATTTTCCATTTTGAGGATCTAGAATTTGATCTACTTTGCCATTCTCGACATTATACATTGAAATTTTTCCATCATTCGATCCAGAAATAACATATTTACTATCAGGTGAAAAAGCTACTGTCCATAAATCAACTGGCCCAAGAGATACTTGATTCAAGAGTTTTCCATCTTCTGAATTCCAAATGCATAATGTTGAGTCTAAGGAACTGCTTGCAATGTCTAAAATATATTCAGTTCTATTTTACTGGATCAAGATTTATAGACTTAATAACTTACATTTTCCATTTGGCGACACTTCAACGCTTACAATTCCTAGCGAATGTCCAGCTAAGCTGTGCAAATGAGTTAATTTATCATCATCTACTCGCCAAACTTTAACTTCAGTTTCTGGATTTCCAATTGCTCCCGACACAATAAAATCATATTCTTCTTTTACAGGTTTCTTTTCTTTTGGTGCAAATGGATTTTCTATTTCCTCTGGATTTTCTGGAGTCTCTTGGATTTCTTCAGGCTCTTCCTCGGGTTCTGGTTTAAAATGTCCCCAAGCACAAGTCCTGTAAATTTTGTTTACAAATCAGATTTTTGTTGTGACATTTCTAAAATTGATTTTTCTTGTCTTACCAAATGGATCCACTATGTGCATATTCTTCTTTATGTAGTACTGAGAACTAAAATTAAATGTGTGTTATTAGAATCTTGATAAATGGTGTATTTAATGCTTAAATTAATTAAATTTTATTTCACCGGAAAATTACCATTGTTTTGAAGTTTCTGAATAATGAGAAATTTGAATATTTTTTGGCAGTTATATTTTTTTGTAGAGTTTTTATGATTTTAAATGTTTTAACAAGAAAACTGTAATTAATTAACAATTGCCAAAATTTCGTACGTAGACTAGATACTAACCCATATTAAAATTGAATAATTTATTTATTTGACATAAAACTGTTGATTGTAATGTTAATAAAGACTTTTTCACCACAACACGTGGTTCAGATTTTTAAAAAAGTGGAGTTCAGAATTTGAAATTTGAATTCAATATTTCAAAATCATAAAATGTAAAGGAAATGAAATTTGATGATGATAAAAACTATTTTTGAAAACTTTAATTCTGTCATTTAACAAGTATTGATTGCATTTAAAGCAGCAAGTAAATTTTTAAAATTAAGAATTGTAATTTTTTAAAAAATCTAGACCACAGCGACAAAATGAGTTCAGCAAAAAGACTCAGCATACCATAACATAAGTCTCTCTCTCACGTTTGGTGAGAAAAATTGTTAGTCTACTTTAAGCTATTGAACATTCAAAACACGAAAAAGTTATTCCGAGCGCGAATTATAATTTTTTTCAATATTTTAGTGGCAAATTGAAGAAAATTTTTTAAGTTTAATCGTAATAATGTGTGTTGTGATGCAATCAATATGATAATATAATTATTTTAATCATCGTTGTTCTGAAATTAAGATAAAAGTGGCAAAAAGAAAATTTAAAAAAGTTTGATAAAGAAAAGAAAAAAAGTTTTAAAAAAAGAATTCAAATGATTAATGAAATTTAATGTTGGATTACGTTTTTATTCATAAATAATCAATTTTACAAGAAAGGAATAATTTCTATTTGTAAGTTTATTTCATCAAAATGTATTGAAAAATGGAGGCAGCAAGTTATATTGTGCAATTATATTACTAAGATTTTGCGATGGAATTCATATTTGAAAACGCCTTTGTGATTATACCTATACTTTTATATTCACATATTACTTATAATCGCCATCGTCTGTGTGTCAAATAAAATTTTATTTATGGATTTTTTGTTTCTGGTGACTCAAGTGGATTTGAGAGAACATCTTTATTGCTGTACGCAAAAAGCCCATTTAGAGCGTGAGGGATTATATCACCAAATTGACTTAGTTCAGTTTGACATTTAGATTATTTTTGTCCTATTTTATAATTAGAAGATAATTTAGTGCTTGACTGGACCAGAATTTAAAGCCTAAGGCAATGAACTTTAATGCTCAGTGTTAATACTGTCCAGCAAACTTGCTAGATCAAAATGTAAACCTAACGTGCTATAAAGCTAGTTCAATACGCGTGTGTGTATGTAGAAAAATATAAAAACTGTTGGATTATTCATAATGTATAAGTACTACGGAGATTCTTTTCATATTCTCTAAACTCTCAACTGGCTTTTTTTTTCATTCTGTTTTGGCTGTGTATATTCAATCATCATCATTATCGTTTGTTTGAAGACAACAACACAAAAAACATCTGATGACTTAAGACTTGCTTAGCTCCAAAACTTACTTTACTCTTCCCTGTTTCTTGTTTAATCGTTGTTGACGACAACAGAGGAGGTGAAATGCAAATTTTTCTGACTAAACAACTTAACGCGAAATATCATATTCGGCTTTAAAATTTCTTTAGACATGATTCATTCCTCTTTTTCCAAAAAGTAAACATACGTAAGACATTGTAAACCATCCATGTAGTGAAATGAAGAAAAAAAAAATTGTCTTGCCCTGGGAAATTTAGCAGAAAGCAGCAGAAGCATGATAATAAATTAGAATCGATATTGAATGACGTCTCTTTTACTGCTACTCTCTCTCCTTGTTCACTTCATTACTGATAGTTTTTTTTGTGTGCATTTCTCCATTAGAATAATGTTCAGTCATAAATTCGTTTTGGATGGATGCGTGACTACTGAATTGTTAGATGTTTTTGATGACTGACTGGCTGGATGATTCACTTGCTCTGTTATTGTTTTTTGGAGGACTGACTTGATAGGAAGTTTAGTGAATGACAAACTTAAGAAATCTATCGATATTTTGAGTATAGTCTGGACTTTATCCTTGTTATGTTAACTGACTCATAAAGCTCCTCTTGCTACTGATAGATTAAATACTAAACATCACAATATAATATACAGCATAAGGTGTGCTTAACTACCGACACTACCAGCCTATACTTCATAATTAATTTACTTATTGGCCCATAAAAAATGCGCATCAATCGTCCATTCGAAAATTATAGCAACGAGCCTGACTAGTGCCGTTTAAAGGCGTTCTTGAAAAAAAAAACAGACAGAAATATTTTATTGTCCGTCCATAGTTATGTAAAAGACTGTCAGAGACATTGGAAAATATTAAATATTCATGACAGTGTGCGATTCATGGAATTTTTTTCTGTGCCTGAAAAAGAAGAGAATTTGATATAGATGTCAGTCACAGAGCACAAATATTCAGTCTGCTTTAGACATAATGAGATTTTCTCATATTAGCCTTGCGTATATGCATGAACGAAATAAAAATCAAGAAGAGATAGAGAGTCAAAATGGATCCAAATTGAGGAAGCTAAAAAATGAACTGCTCTTATTCACACCATAAATGGTAGCGATTGACGATTGTAAATTTCACACATTTGCACTCTAAAATGAAACTTTTACAATTACGATAAGGCGATAAAATTAGAGAAAATTGGACTTGGCACTGAGCCTATCAACTGAAAATTCGGTCAAAATGCAATTGAGGATTGGGGCTTCTAATGTTACCGGGAATAAATTATTGTATAAACAAAGTCAAGGCTTTATTCCAATAGCTTCACGTGTATAAGAAGTATGAGGAACCTCTTTGAGACAGTACATGATTGAATGACTTTTATATTGACAAATTTATTGTAACTTACGAAAATAGAAACTTTAGACACGAAGAAAACTCGGATTCAAGTCGAATTTCTATAAATTTAATTGAATCATTGCACCATTACGCCATTATTTATTGCATATTGTACATAAGTCAATGAATCAAGAATTAAGTTCACGCAAATCTTCATTCTTTACATGAAAATAATTTTTTTTTCTTCTTGGCTCGCTTTTTTTCCGACATTCCGTTGGTTCCGTACAAATTGATCGAAATTCTATTTTTATCACATGTTATGTACGTGAGTGTGAAAAAAGAAGTAAGAGAGAACGCAAATGTTTGCTTTTTTGGGTCGACTGCTTGTAAGAGACGTTTTGTAGATTTTTATTTAAAATGTATTGAAAGAAATTCTTTTCAAAAAAAAAGTTATGAATGCATAAAGAAAGAGGAAGGAAAACGAAGGAAATGCGACAAAGCGTTAATCTTTTCAATTATTCATGACGTTCAAGGCCGTCATCAGTTTACACAAATACGAAAAAAATTTCATTTTTTATTGTTCCTTCACGAAAGTCAGCAAAAAAACCTTTTCATCTGCCAACAACGATAAGATAAAGCTGATTTTACTGCGAATAATTTTTTAAGTATTTCAAGTGATTGTAAAGAAATCGCTCACATGACTATGGAATTTATTACCAAGAACTACGACATTCAAGGATTTTATATTCAGTGTTGTTGACTCTGGTATCTGGGGAAGCATAGACATGATAGATATTTGAGTATGGGTTGTCTTGGTTGAGTGATATCTAGTGAGAACTTTCTTGAAAATGTCTAGACTTGACTAGAGTTTATCTTAATGAAAGCTATTCAATGTTTAGCGACATCAATCTAGTCTCAGATAACAACACTGTATATTGATTGATAACTAAGATATGGGGAATCAATGGCTTACTATTGAACTAACTGATAGTTTATTTATAGGAATTCCTTTATTATCTTTCAATAGATAAACTTACAATAACAAAGAGTTTAATTGTGAACTTTGGTTTGTTATTAAAATTGGAAATAATTGTTTTTGCGAAACTGCACGAAACTGTTTGACTTTGCAAATTATAAAAGGCACAACAAAATCATTAAATTCAGCAATTAATGCCCATTAATTCTGTGCAATTTTATACATTCTCTCTATTTTTTATGGTGTCAAAGTTCTATTCCAATTCATAATACTATCTAAGTGCTTTCTGTTCAGAGCTACAAACAAATATAAAATCCCAAACCCTTGTCTCTTGCATTCCATAATTCGATAAAGTACAACATTTGCAACAGAGTTTGCTATCTAAAAATATATTGTGAGTAAGTAATTTATAAAAAAAATATATACGAAAATAAGAAAATTATCGTGACATGACATGAAAAATAGGATTAGTGATTTTTAAGTCTCAAAGTCATTTTACGGTCATGTAATCCCTTTCAACGAGAATTTACTGGAGCAGATATGCACTTCAAAAGAAATACAAGTAATAAGGATAAACAGATAAGCACGGAAATAAAACAGAATAATGGAAAAATGAATCATTCATAAGTGAATAAGATAAGGGGAATTAGGTGTTAATTAAGTGCAGACAAACTTCCTCAAAAAACATGATAGAAATCAAGTATGACTGAATACGAAAAGACATTAGCTATGTGCATCAATAAACATCAACGCACTGTCGATTTTGAATTGTATATTGCATTTTATTTAATTTATAAATAATATAATGCATTAATACCAGTTTACGTACGTTCCGGTATAATCAAAGCGACAAGTTTTCAACTGAAGTGAGGGCATTCATTGACAGAGAATTTAATTTATTATCGGGAAATGATTGTGCGATCAATTGCTTCTGAATTTAATGACTCTGAGTGACTGTCTATTACATATGGTGGTAAAAATATATTTTATCGATTAAGGTTGGGACGAAGCTTCTCAATTCTCTTGATTTATAACATTTATGATCGGAATTATGGCAACCTGGATGTTTCAATGAAAAACTTTATTAAAATGATAATCTCGAGTCTCTTTTGTTTGTTGCAGACTGAATAAAAAACGCCTCTGCCAAAAAAAAAAGAATCAACTTTTATTATATGATGAATCATTTCTTTCTTTTTGTCGTATCCTACAGTGTAAATACTTTTTCAAATGTTTACACACACATAAATGACAATTGTTGTTAAAGTCACAATTCACATAGCACGGGAAATTTGTCATGAAACTCCATTGAAGCGAAATATTAAATGAAATTGGTGCTGCTTGATAGGAAAAGTAAAGTCGTTGTCGTTTGTGATGAAAAGAAAATATTTTTTTTTGCCGAACTATTAGAATGGAAAAGCATATACATAATTTTAACATAATGAATATTTTTGCTATCATGCACACGAGAAAGACATAAGAGAAACTTTATACATTAATGCTAATAGAATATAAAGTCATCAAGTGTAACTTGTAACCAGTATGACGAGTATGGCAAAAAAATAGTGCGGGAATTACACTTAGTTGTCATATTACGCTTTATTCTTGCATTAAATTGTAAACTTGATGGATGGACAGATAACACCCAACTTACTAATCAATTTTTAATGATAGTCGTGATATGACTTTTTATAAGGTACAAACATGTAGCATTGGATATCTTTTTCAATTGATATGTCTATTGCAGATGTGTTTTCACCCAGCCGTAACTTTGCAATTGAGATTTTAGAGATAACTTGACTTTTAAAAGTCATTTTGCAATCCTTCACATATTCGATTAACTTTGAATATTCATTTGATTCAGTGACAAGAGTTCATGCCACGTGAGCATTCATAACATATCTCAAGTGTCAGTAGACAACAGAAATGACAACAAAACATGCCATTATCTAGACATGTTCGACAAATAAATAGAAACTTCATGATTTCTCCACAATTTCAAGAACCCAAAGGTCGAAAATTCTGATAGGAAGTGA